TGAAAATTTCAGGGCAGATAGATCTTGACCTGTTGAACAGTTTTACCCCCCTGTCAGATTTGCTCTATATGCTTTTGTTTCAGAGATTTAAGCCAAAATCTACATTTTACCCCTATGTTCTATTTTAGGCCATGGTGGCCATCTTGTTGCGGGCCTGGTCATCGGACACATTTTTTAAACAAGATACCCCAATGAAGTTAAAGTATTCATTAGGTCAAGGTCTAACTGCCCTGAAATTATCAGCCAAATCGGGTATCTGATTTTTAGGTTATTGCTCCTGAATTGATGATTTTAAGGAAATATTGCAGTTTTTGGTTATTATCTTGAATATTATTATAGATAAAGTGTAAACAGCAAAAAAGTTCAACAATGTAATATCTACAAATAAGTTTTATATGACCAAAATTGTCAATTGACCCCGTAAGGAGTTATTGTCCTTTAAAGACAATTTTCACAATTTGTTCATCATGTTTGCTTACTTTAAAAAATCGTCTCCTTTGAAACTGCTGAATCAATTTCAGCCAAACTTGGGTTGAATGAGTTTCAGAGTATCTAGTATAAATTTTGTATTTTATTTCCTTGTACGTCAAGAAACATAGCCACTATGGCTAAAATGGAACATAGGGGTAAAATGCATTTTTTTTTTTACTTTTAAAGAAAATATGGCAGATACAAAGAACATTTAAATGGTATTTTAAGCTACTCATTAATATATATTGGAAAGCAAAAATAATCATTGATGAAAGATTTAAGCAAAAAAATACAGGTGAGCGATTCAGGCTCTTGAGAGCCTCTTGTTCACGTTGGCCATGGTGCCAGAAGTCGCCTCTAAAGTAGCTCATAGAACCTATGCCCTAAACCCGTACGAGTTTGTCAGTATAGGGTAGGGGTACCTGGTCTTGTCTTTTATCTGAGCTGTAAATATGGTCGAAAACGATTGTATATAATAGGAGTACTGTATAATTATGAAAGTGATTTAAAACCAGTAAAAAATGTCTCGTCGGCATGTAAGAGAATTTAATAACAACCATTTTGTAATTCTATTTGGAACGTGTCTTTACCAAGAAGCATCTGTAGATTGTATTTATGGTTCAGCTTAATGTTTAAATATAAAAGGCTATTCATTAATGTTTCAATTGGCATTTTTTATAATTAACCCAAAAATATTTGTACTAACTTATCGGTTCTCCGTAAGCGTTCCCCTTTTATAATTGATTAAGTAAACGCAGACATCGAAGAAGACACCCATAGAGTTCAGATTTTATTGTTATTTATAGCAATATCAAATATAAACAGCAAACATGATTTTATCCTAATAATCGATATTTTTTTACAACACTTCATCGAACCCAGGTCATCTCATGAATATTATCGAATGCTCATGAATATTATTGCAGGTGAGATAGAAAGTGGCCGGCTGTTATCTCCGGTTAGCTTCTCAAAAGCCATTCATGTTTTACCGGTTTCTATACCGAATTAAAAATGGAATAGTAGTCCCTTCCTTTCGTCTGATATTAATATATTGTCAATATAGCAATGAAAGCATAATGTGATACAGTTATGATTTTTTTTCTTCTCTTTTTTTTCTTTTTTATCTTTATCTGTACAAACCAGTTAATGCTCAGATTCCTATGCTGTGAACAACAAATGGAAGTTTTTAACTACCTTGACTGGCTATACAGCCCTTGCACGGTCGGGATGCTGTGAATAAGGTTATTTGAACTTCATCAATATTCACAATGAGTCTCATAAAATAGGCATAAAATGAAACTGAAATTAGCTTAATTATACATAATTTCTGTAACTGTTTGTTACATGATCATTTATATTTAATGAATAAATGCTTGACATCTTATGATACAAGTATTTGTTGTTTTACGCATCAAAGATGACTTAATATTTTAATTATTTTAAAGTTGTAAATTTTGAAGGGAGGTAAATCATAAATTTTAAAGATTTTTAACAAAAATTGTACTTCACATTTCCATGCTTTTGATGGTTAAATTGTTAAAGAAAATGCTTGCTTGACATTGTGTTTTAAAAAAGTATCTCCTTATCTCTCCACTCTTGTAGTGTTCTATTACAGTGGCGGATCCAGGGTGGGGGAGTTCCGGGGGTTGGACCCCCTTTTTTTGACGATCAATGCATTTGAATGGGAACATATAGCTGGAACTCCCCCCCCCCCCCCTTTTATCTTGGGTTAGGAACCCCCCCCCTTTTATAAATGGCTGGATCCGCCCCTGTATTATATTTTTTATCTATGTCTCACCCTTTCAACGTGCAGCGCTGTTTGATGATGAAATATACAAGAGGGTGGTAAAGGGTTATTTTCGTGCTACGTGTTTTGCCATTTTTATTTCACGTGCAGCCGTGAAAAAGGTTCGTTATTCACCGTGTTTCGTGAAATCGGTAAAAAGATCAACGTGCAAGAAATGTTTAATTGTTCGTTCATCGTGAAATAGCAATTTTATTAAGCGTTCTTCCGTGCCCCCACCCCCCTTTACGCCCCTCATACAAATATCATTTCTTTTAATTCTTAATCAAGAAATGAAAATGTAAAAGTCAGTGGCGGATTCAAATAAGGCGTGGAGGGCGTACGCCACCCTCTTCTTTTTTTTTTTGGCATAAAATTGTCCAAGAATTTTTTGTATCCCTCCGATCGGCCGTATATATATATATATCGTTTTTGGCAACCCCCCCCTTTTTCCCTTAAAAATTCCTGGATATTCCCCTAAAACTCATGCATAGTGTCTTCGATTGTTAAATTAAAAAGCGTTAAATATAGTATAAAAAACATTTGAGTCTTATGCAACTTTTGGGTTTATAGACATATCTGAAAACTGGCTGCTAGCGGAGTGGCTGCTAGCGAGTGGCTGCTAGCTTGAGCCTAGCCACCATTCATTGTTTTTATCCGGCAATTTACACACAGCACGTTAAGGCTACGTTGTTTAAATCTAAATAGTTGTCTCTGATTTTTTAAAGAAATGGACATCTTTAAAACGCGCATCGCAAGAGAACCCAACATTGAACTTTCATGCAAATTTTTTTTTTTCCAAATACCGCTTGCTCGATATGGAAGCAGATTAGCAGGATGCTTCATTTGTACTAGATACACACAAAGCAAACATGTATTTGTGTACCTTTTATTTGTATAATAGTTGACCGATAAATGTAATGAAGTTGGACAGGAGTACGAAAACATTTGTAATGTGCTATAGGATCTATGGTTACATATTTTCTATTTTAGACTGTTTTCGGGTTACACATGAGATGCATATGACCTGATACACTCCGACTTCACGTCTCAACTTGCGGGGTGCTGCTCTGCTAATGAATGTAGGTAACATATTACATATTCTCTTATGATTGTGGCCTGTTATCTATTTCTTGCATGCATAGATATTTTTCCGTGCAGTGATACGAAAATCTGCGTTAATTTGATTGGCTAATGCAGTATCACAAGACGATCTTAAGGCATTTCCATTGGCTATTCGTTAGGTCATTGATGACTTTCAAAGGTTACGACGATGTAAGTTCCGTCCATGCCAACGGACATATGTGATTTCTTCAATAATATACAAAACACTCACATATTTCACCTGACAAAATTTTTTTTGTCAAATTTTATTACATTCTGAAGCGTACAAAAAGTCTTAAAAAATCAACTCTCGTTATTTAATTTAAATAGTAATTATAAACTCGCGAAGGCTCGTTTTTTATCATATTGAAATTAAATAACTTTAGTTGATATGAAGCGATATCCCGTTCTCACTCGTTATGAAACCTATAATTATCATTCTGAATATAAGTGAAATACTGGCTGCTGGACGTTACTAATCAATCCTTATAATTTTAGACTTCCATCCTTTAAAAGGTAACTAGATCCTAACGTTTCAGTTAATAACAGTCTGATCTTTCGATCGTCTCCTGTTTTAACTTACATTTTTGCTATCCAGTTACAATGCTGCTTGTTATATCTTTTTTGGTTGAAATGGGAGGTAGCTACGAGTTAACAGACAACAAAAAAATACAGTATGATTTCATATTTTTTTCAAACATAAATAAAAACGAAATATTGAAATAATAATTTGATTGAAGTAGCCAGTTTGGTCCAATTTCGTTAGGTGGATTTAATCAGCATGTTCAGTTATGTAGAAGAAATAAATAGAGAATGTGTCCATGGAAAACAGACGATACCCACGCTTGCATATAGCATTATAAAAGGTCATAATTCCAGAACGGTAAAAGTGACGCCACCCAAATTCTAACTTGATTTGTGTTTTGTGGTAATAAGCATTGTGTATAAGTTCATAACATTTGGTTGAGGCAAACTATGTAAGAGAACGGTAACCAATTTCGGAACGCATGCACGGACGATCGGACAAAGGTAACACTTAATGCCCCTCCGTGAACGTCAGGGAAATACAAATCATCAAACGAAAATTGGCATATTTTTAATGTCATGACATCAAACAGACCAAGGAAAATCGTCATAATACACATTAACATGCTTCTCTGTCTATTCATATTTATATTAATGTTTATATTGTGTCACTTGACCATCGACAGACTTTGGAGGTCATCTTGGAGAATAATTAAAGGTGTTTAGTCCTAAAATACGTACGAAATATGCTGACACTTTTTTACTACATGTACATGTATGTCATCTATTATTTATTGTTACCTATAATGAACTTTTTTTTTGAGTTTGAATGACCTTTTGGTATCTTTTGTCTATCTTTTGATTAATGTATTTTATTCATTCAATATTATAATTTGATACCTGAATTTCTTATTTAAGATGAAAATAAGATCGTTTGAAAGTCTTTGATTCATGTATCACCTTTTACGTATCTTTGTTCATCAGTCAGGTGGTCTATTTGGTCTACATAACATATAACAGTCAAGATATAAGGTAAAGATGAATAATTTATTATGTCTTTCACTCACCACTAATTTCTAAACTAAAAGAGATGCTATTTTCACAACAACAAAAATCGTCTGTTGTAGATCAATTTATTTTTCAACTCTATAAGCATACTTCCGAAATATATAACCTACACTTCTGTATTTTGCCAGTATTTTTCAAAACTACTTTGTAATAATCAGGGTTTTATGGGTATATTCCAGATTTTGACACTTTGACTGAGTGTGGATTTGCATGGCGGTTTAGGCATGAATAATAGCCGAAGACAATGAACTTATCGACGCATACATTCTTGATCCCTTTGTAATTCACGCTATTCCATCAGTTTGTGTATATAACCTTCATTTGTCTCGGCTTTAATTTGATTTCAAGTTTATTATAGATTATAAATGCATATCATATTGAAATACATTGATTTGCGTAATTCTTGTTCATACAATGCCATACACACGTAATGTTTAATGTTAATAAATAAAAACGAACAAAAATTGATAAAAAAATAATGTTTAAAGTTGAATTTGCATACCATTTCGCAATATTTTATGTACAAATGTACGAATTGTCATATTTTGACAGTCCATGAAACTGGAAATAATTCTTAATGGTAACATTCATCTATCTTCATTAATTTTCCATTTCTGAATCTCCTCTAGAGACACAAAATCATCATCGTTGTTATCCCCAGAAGAGGATACACTGTCATTCTCGTCTTCATTACACAAAGGATCAGCTTTTGCCAAAAGGTCTATGTCTACATACTGAGTTCTATGTTCAGCTCCATGGATGTAAAACTCTCTAGATGTCCTTTTTGAGTCGAATGCAACCTCAACATAATTTAGTTTTGAGAAATCCTAAAAAGTATTAGAATCTAAATTAAAACTTCGACCCCTTTTCCATTACTTACTCATATATACCAAATAGCGTTAACATTAATTGCATATATTTAGTTAACTTTTTCATAACTGCGAAAATGTTTGCAAAACCATGTAGATTTTATCTTGCAATCGGTATTACTTTTGCATCACTATACCTCCTTTTTGAGGATCAGTAAGCATGATAATGTTTACAAAAGTTAAATATAACAACTTCATCGGAAGTATAACAATATTTACAAAAAAAAAGTCAATGCAAAACAGAAAACAAAAATTAATTAAAGAACTGAGTTTCAATGTTCCCCGCGCTGCACATATTTTATCTATCCAAGGTACAAGGGCAATAACTTAAAAAAAGCTTCTTTTGTTCTTTAATTTTTTTTTAATAGTATCTTAGAGAAATGATACTTCAGAGCAAAACAATGTGATTTCCTTTATAATTAATATTTCCAAGGAGCATAATTCATTAAAAATATTTGATCAGAACTTATTTTCGAAAATGGCAAAGGCGTTACTGATATAAACCTATGAATTAAGTTTCATAAAATTCTGGTAGGAATTGAACATATGAGAGCTTTAACAATGCAATTTCCCATAAGATCAATATTTCCAAGGGGCATAACTCTTTTAATTAAAATCTGACAGCACTCATTTTCAAAAACATTTTTAGCCTGCTAAAATAGATCTTCGATTACCTTGTTAAAGAAAATAAATTACATTTCAAACAGACCTTCAAGGAATTTCAAGTGCAAAGACTAGTAAGGATATAACACACTGATCGAAAATCTAAGTTCTTGAAAAATCTGACAGAACTCATTTTCAAAAACATTTTTAGACTGCTGAAATACATCTTTGATCATTTGTTTAAAAAAAAAAAAATTACATTTCAAACAGACCTTCAAGGGCATTACTTATAGTATACTATAAGTTTTATAAAAAAAATCTGGCAAACAATTGTTCCCGTGAGAGCGCCAACGAGGCCATTTTCCATAAATTTAATATTTCCAAGGGGAATAACTCTTTAAAAAAGTCAATCGTCCACCATTATAAAACTTGTCCGAGATATTACTGATATTAACCCATAGTATAAGTTTTATAAAAATCTGACAAGAATTGTACCCGTGAGGGCGCTAACGAGGCCATTTTCCATAAATTTAATATTTCCAAGAGACATAAATCTTTTTAAAAATGTCGATCGGCCACCATTATAGAACTTGTCCGAGATATTGCTGATTATAACCTATAGTATAAGTTTTATAAAAATCTGGCAAGAATTGTACCTGTGAGAACGCTAACAAGACCGGACGGACAGACGGACACATGGACGTACGGATGGACGGACAGACGGATGGACGGACGCCCGGTATTTCTTTGTCCCCGCAAAAGCTTGCGCGGGGGACAACAATAAGCGATGAATAATCTTTTGAGCCTCTTGATTTTTACACGAGGTACTTTTTTAAAAAGACGACGTTACTGGCGTATGTAAAACTAATTATAACGACCAGTTAAAGAAATCATTGAGTGCAGTAGAAGCCATGATTGAAAGTCATCAATTATAGTAGTTAGCCTTCACAAACGGACCATTTCAGGGTTTTCGATTTTTCTAAATATTATTTGACAATATCTTATTATAGTATGAGATATGCCTCGTTAACGGGTATCTTCAAAAAAGGCACCTGCATTGTAAATTGATATATTGAAGCCATTGTGGTCGTTGGAAGCGGTGAATATTAAAATAATGTTTTGTTTGTTTTCGACTGAGACCCTATGGGGCCAGATAAATAATCATTTATAAATGACAGTCATGTTTATTCACCTTTTCAAGGAACAAAATGTATATTTTATCAGCAAATGAAATAGTTCATGATGCATGCGTTTATATAAAGGTATGCTTACATCTTCTACGACCCTGTTGTGTCCATCTCTTACTCCTGTGATTAAAAAAAAAAATAAAGGTTAAAATATAAATCTAGAGATAGAATTCAGGTTAACAAGTGCACATATACGTAATATGTGGTTTGGTCTTTTCAGTCTTCCTTTCCTCTACTAATTTTATAACGGTTAATTATGTATGAGTGTTGAATTTCGAAATTACCATACGACAGGCCTGCATGCGTTTACGGTTCACACTTAGCACTGATTTTAATGTTCTCTGTTGTTAACTGCTAATCGGGTTGTAAATAGTATGCTGAGAATATAGTCATTGCACTTAGACACACCTTTATACATATTGAATAATTGATTTTATTTTGCTGCATCATGCCTTAGCAGAGCGAAATGGATTAAGGTGAATAATTTATAACGTATACTGGTACTTATTCCATAAGCGTCATTTTTCAACTAGCTTATGAACAAATTTGATAACTGAATCGGGCAAAGAAGACAGATTAATTATTTATCCCTTGTAATTTTTTATTAACTGTGTATTTGCATTCAGGTGTCACATGTCAAATTTATTCGTTCATTGTGTGTTAATTTACGTTTTTTGATTGAGTTAAGCCTTCCAATTGATATTTTGTAGTGTGTTTTTCTATGTTGTGATGTTATACTATTGTTTCAGAAAAGGGAGAAGGTTTGGTACCATTAAAACGTTTAATCCCGCTGCAAATGTTTGCACCTGTCCTAAGTCAGGAATCTGATTACAGTAGTTGTCGTCTGTTTATGTAGTTCATACGTGTTTCTCGTTTCTCGTATTTATATAGATTAGATCGTTGGTTTTTCCGTATGAATGGTTTTACACTAGTAATTTTTTGGGGCCCTTTATAGCTTGCTGTTCGGTGTGAGCCAATGCTCCGTGTTGAAGGCCGTACCTTGACCTATAATGGTTTACTTTTATAAATTGTAACTTGGATGGAGAGTTGTCTCATTGGCATTCATACCACATCTTCCTATATCTAGATAAATATAAGCTCGTGTTGCAAGTTTCTGAATCCTATGTGGCTCAACGTCAATTTATATTGTATAAGATGTATTTAATTTCATAATAAGATATTGCTTTCACTAAGGGATTAGAAATATTTTGTGTCCGTTTGATGACTTGTTTCATGTAGTATATAGCGAAAAAAGGCAAAAAAGAGGCGATGGGTACCAAAGGCCATTCAAACTCATAATTCGTAAATAAACTGACAACGACATGGCTAAAAAAGAAAAGACAAACAACAGTACATAATACATAACATAGAAAAACTAAGAATGAGCAACATGAACCCTACCGAAAGTTGGGGTGATCTCATGTGCTCCGGAAGGGTAAGCAGATCCCATCGAGTTGCTCATGTTAGTACAAACCCGGTGATAAGTCTGATTCAGTAGGTCACATTAGGTGGAAAACGAACGGTATTGTAGTTACGACAATTGGAACTTGTCCGTTGTCATCTGTGCAACGGTTACTCCATAACGGTCAATCAACACGTGATGGCGTCCGTAAAATTTACGAAGGATAATTTCAACTTCACTGCTTGAAACTCTTTGTTTAATAGCTTCCTTGTTAGCAGCAACCCTATATCAAGGAAATCATGATAAGAAATACAAGTCCTGGAATATCGTATCAACTCTGAGATAAAAACTCCGTCTGCAGGCGCTACTGGAATGTTACATAGAAATAGAAAGTTCACAATTGGGAAGCTGACATCTTCTCTTTTGTAGTAAAGTGTTGTTTTCAACCGACCATCATTGTCAATTTCTAGACATAAGTCAAGATATGAGGCAGACTTATCTTAAGTTAGATGGGATAGATGCGTTCAACATAGTCACCAAATTTTGAATTATTTAGTGAGAGAACATCATTATATCACGGAAAGTTGAAAAAAGGATACTGCTAACTTCTTTTCTTTTTTCCTAAGAAGTTCCTGTAGGACGTCAGCCTCATATGAATAAAGGAATAAGTCGACAAGAAGAGGACATTACTGAATCAAACAATTTATAAAGAGCTCTCAAATCATGCCTTCTTATTGGCGTTCACATTTAAAATTCTTGATTTGGATTTTAATTAAATAACATGTTGTCCTGGAGGCAAAGACGAATTAATCGAGAAATATATTTTATTACCTGGCTGTTGTTTTCTGTTGTCATTATTTGAAACCTTGTAATTTACAGTTTGAGCACCTGACACTTGTAACCTTCTATCGATGGAAGAATATACGTCTCCTCTAATATGAGAAGCAGAGGATGGGCCGGGTAGATCATCTGCTAACTGATAAATATTATTCTCAATACCAGCACCTTAAAAAAGATTGAATGCATAAAGAACTTCCAAATGTTACTGTCTTCCTCAAACACTAAATAATAAGAAAATAAAATAAAAGTTATAAAAAATGAAGCTTCCAATAAGTAAAAACTCGTCTCGTCTGGTTTCAGTTCGACTTCAACTTAAATAATAAGTCTTGTTAGTTTTACTGCCGAACGTCGATGTTCACTCCTGACAATCATAATTTCCCACTAGTAACAGTTCGCCACAAAATTTAGCAAAGAGTGCTAAAAGTGCCCTTAACTAGTACACCTTATTGTTAAGCGTTCAGCCGAAGCCCGCCTCCGGGTGCGGGATTTTCTGGCTGTGTTGAAGACCTATTGGTGGCCTTTGACTGTTTTCTGCTCGTTGGTAGAGTTGTTGTCTCTTCGACACGTTCTCCGTTTCCAATTTTATTAAGATATAAAACACATTGGAGCATGTTCGGTTTTCTGTTTTATTTGTAATCCAATTATCAAACGAGAGATCAGAAGACTATCGTTGCATGTTTACAAAAAAAAATTTTATAAAACGTATATGTGTTGTGTGCATTGAGACCGGGACATGTTGTTTCAGACATGCCTATGCTAAAACTAAAATTGCTTCTTCACTGCTATGTCCTTTTAAGTCATAAGCTGTCTTACCTTGAATAGGCTGTGCAACCACCTCATTGGAACTGTAAATTGGTAAAAACTTGAAAATTAAGCATTTATATGTATTTTTCTATGTGTAAAAATTAAAACAACAAATTAAAACAAATACTGTAGTCCGAGAAAAATTCAAAAAGGAAAGTCCTTTGTCAAATGGTAAAAAATGAAAAAGCTCAAATACATGTACATCAAACGAATGAATAACAATTGTCATATTCCTGACTTAGTACAGGCATTTCCTTATTTAGAAAATGGTGTATTGAACCTGGTTTTATAGCTAGCTAAACCTCTCACTTGTATGACAGTTGCACAAAATTCCATTATATTTACAACAGTGTGTGAACAAAACAAACAGATACAGGAAAGCAGTGTCTTTTGTTTCTTTAATTTCTAGTTCTGGAGGATATATTAATGGAACCCAATCAGAAAAGTATGGACTGTTAATGGTTAGAACATCATCAATATATCTAAATGTGAAATTCAATGATCTGGCTTCTTTGATCTCTTTGTTTTTGATAAGTGTCTGAAGGAACTCCGACTTATATGAAAATAAGAAGAGGTCGGCAAGAAGAGGCGCAAAGTTCGTTCCCATTGGAAGGCCGGCAATTTGTTGAAGCTACCTTAAAATGCAACAAATATGTTCCAGCATACTGATCACTTATTCCTCGGTGTAGCATGTTTTAACTTTTTGTTCCCTATTAACAAAATATGTCGTATGGTATCCCGAAGCAATACATTTATAGCGCGTATGCTACCATTTTTATATTAAAAAGCATTGTGGATTATTTTTTTAGACGATTTTTCAATTTGACATGGGGAATGGTGGTATTCAGGGTTTAAAAATCATAGGTTTTGATAAAATCAATTTCAGAGAAAGATCAAGATTTAAAAGTATACAGAAGTTCTTTAGAGTTTTGGGTAAACCATATATGCTAAAAAGCACAACGCGAATAAACAGTGTCACAGTATTTCTGAAGACCTACTTTCAATGCGGACAGAATGTTAGTCAATCTAAAGGACAATTCCTTTGTAGAACATGCAGATGAACCGGCAAGTACCGTTGTATGTATGGAATCTTGTGAAGCTTAGATATCCAATACAAACAAGGTAAGTTCGCAGATTTGCTGTTAAATGTAATGTTCATTGAAGCCATGAAGGACTTATTATTCGCCAAAATTTCATCATAGTGTTAATTTCAACATGTGATTCATTAATAATACCTAATATATGATTACATCAATTGAAACACGAAATGGGAATTTATGGTTTTCGATTCAGATATTGTACTACATCAATAGATGTTTTAGGCCATGTCATTAAAATATGACTTTATCGGTACTATGATTCAAGATTCAAAGTAAAAAAAAATAAATATATATATATATATATATATATATATATATATATATATATTCAGTAAGCATCATTGAATATGGTATTTCAAGTTCATGTTACGATATTTTATTTGCAGATGCTTTGTTTAAATGGCTGCATTATTAGGTATGAAAGTTATACACTATTTGTCATAATGTTATGACATTTACCCGTAAAACATGTGATTCATTAATGTAACAGTAGGTTGCCGATGTTCAAATATCTTAACACGATTAGGAAAGTCAAGGTAACAAACAAACAAAAAGGAAATCAAATGAAATTAAAGAGGAGCTAAAACTGGTGTTGTTTTTTTTTGTGTGCATAAATTCAACATATTAGTTTGCGACGAACAGTATAAAATGCAATGACTGACAGCTGGTATTAACAATTTTTACTTGTTTTTAGATAAACATTTTACAAATGCATAGATGTGGTTTTATTGCCAAACAAAACACTATAACAATATTGATAACTCCGGTTGTTTGTATGATACCTTGATTTGTCTTCTTGGTCGATGTATGAGAATTGACATCTTGAAACTACTGTACTGTTGCCTTGATTTCGAACAGGCAAATAAAGAATATGGCGGGTTTGGATATGAGACCGAGTTCAAAATACTGCCTTAACATGCACAGTGGTACAGCAAACGAGTTAAGAACCAACTGGAAAATCAATTTTTTAACGTATTACACAATCATTTGATAGGTATTAGCACAAACATATTAGTAATTAGAACATTTAACGTTCAAGTATCGATCTAAGGGTACTTGCAAATGCAAAATAGCTTGTTCAAAGATTTATTCTACTTATGAATACAACATGTTCTCTTATATAGATCAAGTACACATCCGACATGCAGTTTAGTGTAAAAACTTCAAACCTACCAGTGAAAAGCATGATAATGTGTCATATTCCGACAAGTTAAAAATATGTAATGATGTAGCTGGATAACATACCGGAGATGTTATTAAGTAAGGATGTTCCTATGTTGTTTATCTATTTACATGATTTATCCATGTAATAATACAAAATTGTCATATGAAATAATCAAATATTCGAAATGCTTCAGACATGCATTTCATACAGATAGAATAGGAATGAAAGGTGACGTGGGCGTACTCTCTTACCCTCTTTTATCATTTTCTCAAAAAAGACCAAAACTGCTGACAATAAGTAGATAACTAAATAATTAATAGTTCAACTTGTTTTAAAAATAACAATTGAAAGGGCCTATTAGCCCAGCTGTCAACTTTGGATATGTGCACATTTTTAATGAAAAAGATTGAGGGTGTTTAGTTATTGGTACATTAACCACGAATAACATATCGACATCAGGTGAAGACCAACAACATGTACAGGACGTTTGGATACGACTAGAAGATATACTTGTTTACAAGGAATATTTATCATTTTTGCACAATGTTGATAAACATAAACAAGTATAAAGCAATGTTATTATAGTTGTAGATATAAACTACTTATACTAAAACATTATCATTAGACACCTTCATTCAAATGTCAACGTGTATTTATTGCAAGGTTCTGTGACATTTGAACTATATACATTCATTTAAAAATCTATAATTCACACAGATACTATTGCAAATGATAGGTGATGTGACATGTATTATTGAAATCGTACCCTCAACAAATTGAAATCCTTATTGTCTGCGATAAAGTTTAATTTCAAAAAGGATTTTGCATAATATTTCTATTCTATACTTTCTTGTGATTAACAAAGCATTGTTTCTAATTTTAATTGATGATTGATAAACCAAAAATCTTTTTTATTATCGGTATATTCTCCCGCTCAACATAAACATTATTTCAATTTACAGGGTTTTGTTTGGTAAAACTAATAAAAAAATATCCTTGGCTTGGGTTTACATAAGATTTTCCAGATTTAATGTTGACTTTGTTTTGCTACATACATCGTTTTAAAGTGGTAACCCTCCTTCAGATATTGCATGTGCAGTGCTCGTTAGTAATTCCATGCAAGACTGAGATACCATTTAAAGATAGATAAATAACTGCATACTTATTATGAACTTTGTTCCTTGCTAGACCTAGGAATAATAATAGAAATAGTAAACCGTCGATATATATATATATTTTTTTAAGTTCAGAACATTTTCTTTTCGAAACGGACCATTTAAGAATCTAAAAATGTCCTTTATCAATCTACTTTCGCATTTCCTCATGAAAAAAAGCATATACGGGAAAGTAAAGTTTCATTTAATCCTTTTTTTATTTGATTTTTTTATAGTTTCGCGCTTTGAAAATTACGCTTTATATTTCATATCAAATAAATATGTTGTTATGTGTTTAATCTAGTTTGTATCCTAGTTAAGGTGGCTCACCCCAATAAGGACCCCCGGTAGATTTTTTTTATTATCACATATTTTGTAGATTTTTTTATGCTGATTCCAAACATGCAAAGAAAAAAGGGGGTCACTAGGCTCGTTTCCCCCTCAAATGGAAGCGAAATGTGCGATTTTGACCCTATTTCCAAACATTTCCACCCTTTCAACAATAACGGCTACATCAAATTCAAAGACTTTTAGAACCATGTCAATATGAATATTATGTGAAAACACATTAAAATTTGAAATGTAAACGTTTTCCCTTGGTTGTTTTAGACCTAAAAGTTCTTTTATTTACAGATTTATGTCTAAATTTTGCATTTTCTAATTTCAGTTTAAGGCTAAAAATATTGGTTAAATCAATTTTTCGTAAAATTTCCCCGGTAGATTTAAAAAAAAAACGGATATGTCAAAGCTATGAACTTTTCGAGCATTTTAAGGTAAAATAAAATGGGGGTCACCAGGCTTTAAAAAAAGTTACGGACTTTTGTTTAACCCCTCTACCCCATGAGATCTGATTTCAATGCACTCCAATAATTACTTTGTTGTGAATTCTTTATTGGTGGCTTTAATAAAATAATGTTTGCAATTATATCAATGGACGATAGCTGAATATAAATGTGATTAACATATAAATGTTTGTTATAAAAATGCGAAATTTTGATTATTTTGGTGAAATACGGTAATTTTGTCTGGCGCGAATTGTTTCCCTTTAAATTGGCGCCATAATCGGACAACAGAAATTTCAGGATCGCCATTGTTTATCAGCATACACCACTGATGAATACGACCATGTACATGAATAACAGACAAAGTGGCGAATTGACAACGATGCAGGTAGAATCATTACATAAGAAAACATAGATTTTAATATTTTAGGCAGCCAAATGTTATCAGTATCACGAAAAATACAGTGGGGGGTTGTCTCAAAATACTCGCTACTATAGAAAATCTCTGCGCCTGAAACCTTGCATGGCTAAATTTCTGTTCTATGTATAATCGTTATGGCTGGTATCTTGTTTATGAGTTTATTCTATCCTTAACTGGCAAGTTGTGAACATGTATAGCCTGTTGGGAAAAACATCGAGGGGATGGACAGGGTAGGAATGCCCTTTACTGCCAAGCATCACAAATGTCCTTTTTGCGCTTCCGTAAGGCTCAAATGAATCTTGATTTTAATCGTCATTTGTAAAATCTAATTTCGTAGCTACGTTAGGGCCAAATCGAGTAAATTATTTATCTTTAACGTCTAATGTGGGGTACCCAATAACTGCCCTCGGACAGGGGTCCATGATTCCAACTCCCTATCCCCAACTCCCATTTCCTTTCCCTTTTACTCTAAAATATTTGCCCCCTA